CTATACTATTATTATTATTTTTCCCCTCCTTAAATTGGCAATGTTTTGCCGTGATAATCGCCGCCGTCACCAGGGCTAAAAACATACCGTATTTGTGGTACAGCACCCAGCTGATAGAGCTCAAGGCCTGTTTGATAAAAGGATCTTTCTCAAGGGCCTCCCACAGGTAAAGTTGGCGTTCCTGGGGAATGGGAAGGAAGAACGACACAATACCAGTGTATATCTGGGTCATAGCCGATCCTATAGTCTTTGTCATCTCGGCCCCGAGTCTAGCCTCGTATCTCGCGTACAGCTTATCGAGTTCTTCAGCTGACATTTTGTGAATTTTATCGGGAGTGTAGTCCCCAAAGTAATGTTTGGCTTTGCCACCAACAGCCAACGCCACCAGTCTCTCTCTCTTATCATCGTCCCCTCGCTTATCATCGTCCCCTGGCACCAACAGTTGTTCGAGCAGTTCATCACACTCCATCTTATAATGTTACAAGCAAGTTTTAGTTTTAACAATATAATACCCGATGCAGGCGAAACACAGCCAATTGAAGGTTAAGTTGCACACGACGAACACTTCAAAAAAGTCATAGCTTAGCTTTGCTTAGCATTTGCTTAGCTTTGCTTAGCTTTGCTTTGCTTAGCTTTGCTTAGCATTTTCTTAGCATTGCTAAGCTAAAACACCCTATAGGCCACGGGTTGGTCGGTCTTGAGCACGAGTTTAGCATGTTCAGTTTCAGCGAGCTGTTTCTTCACACGTTCCCGTTCTAATTTGCTCATCACATCGTTCTCTCTCAAACACTCCTCGAACGAATCCCTGTCCTTGCAGTGGAATAAGGCCACCCATCGTGTCTGCTCCCTGAAGTCTTTCAACACAGAGTTGAACTTCTACGTTAGCACCCAGACGCTGGGATTTGCGTGTCGGCCGGAGAAGGCCAGGTACGATAGCATGTCTCTCTTTTTTGTTATCTCACGATTAGCGATGCAGTCGTCCAGTATGAACAGCGTCGACTCCCCTTTAAATTTGTTGTGATAAGCTTTCAACTAGTCCTGTAGACGTGTTCCCGGGTCGACTTTGTGTACGTCCGGGTCCGTCATCACCCAAGGTCTTTCCGTGTACGTTCTATTCATGTTCAGAGTAGGGCACATGATAACGATGTTGTTGAACACATCCAACATATCAAGCACAAAAACGGTCTTCCGACAACCAGTCTGCCCGCACACTATGGCGCAGTGTGGGTCGCGGGGCAAATCAATGCCACCGGCAGGCAGTGGCTTGCTGCCATTAGTAGATGGCTTGCTGCCATTAGTAGAAGGCTTGCTGCCATTAGTAGATGGCTTGCATGAATCTCCCATTGTCTATATTAAGTTGCGCTCCACGGGGACGACCAGGATGCCTTTCATCGATCGCGCCGGCACGTTCAGGTTGATGTTCAACACAGTGTCGCTCTTATCCCGCACGACTGATCTATGGCGCAGTATGCGATCGTACAGGATGGCCACCTTCCCCGAGTACTGGCTTCGAACCTGCCTGGCCAGCTCCGGGCTAGTGACCATGTCGAAATCCAGAGAGATGTTGTTTATGGTGTAACTGGTATCATCACCGTTTGGCGTACGAACGACTTTGCTGTAGTCATTAAACGTGAGCTCGTATTCAAGCCTATCCCCCAGCGCAGCCTGGTAAAATGGCGCATGTCCCGAGAGCAGCTCGAAGTCGAGCGGCACGCAGAACCTGTTCCCGTCCGCTTAGGCGATGGCATTTCACCGTCCGATATCTTGTCCAGCTGGTCTTGCGTGAAGCCGTATCCCACGCGCAACCGGGTCGATTTGCTGATGCCCTGGTACACGTCATTGACGCGTTCTCCCCGCAAGCTCCCCGTAGCAGTGAAACACGTCGCTGTCGTCAATGCTCAGCACCTCGTTACCGCTGATCTTGATGGTGGTTTTCTTGATGATGGCTCGACCTACATTCCGGAGGTCAGCGTGAGGTTAAATGCCAGTCGAACCGTGCCTGGTACAATGAGGTCATTCTCGCCCAGGTTTGGGAATCTTACCAACAGCGTTTGGTTCTGGTCTATCTTGCTGGGATTGTTGGTGATGGTCACCGACTGGCACACGGCTCTGACGCCTAGAGGCTCTCTTGATCTTCGGAAAGGATCTAGTTTTCTACCATACATTGTTATATACATGAAATATATAAGTTTTAATACTAAATAATGGCTGAAGGTGGTCATGAGGACATCCCTATGGGTGATATGTGGGATGATAGTGCCCATGCATTCGGGGAGGATGAAACCTCATTCACTAACAACCCCTTAAGTACTGAACTTGTACAGCCGGCCGTCGATGATTATTACGACGCAGTTGAAAATAGAGACAACATCAAGCCGTTGGGGCGAGACTATACCAAGTTTAAAAAGGGCACGCTGCGATTGAAGGCTCACCCGGGGGTCGATATCATGAAAAAAGATAGGTAGCTGTATGCTTTGTCAGCACTCACCAGTCGCCCTGGTGGGAGTCAACTGATCCGTGATGAACTAGGCTTCAATACGGTGGCGCACGGCCTAAGCTTCCCCCGAAGGTCGTCCAAGATCTGCAAGCATTCAGGGCCGAACTCAACGGTGAAGGTGATATACCCCAACGTGCTAAAGAAACATTGGACAGCGTCAAAAAACTGTTGAGCGCGTACTGGAACAAGCCTTTGCTGGGTCTCGAATTTCCCCTGAGAGAACTGTAAGGTCTAGACGAAGCCTTGAAACATGTACACGGAGAACTCGTGAACAACATGGGGAAACTGAACGAAGTTGATGAGCACATCGCTTGCGAGAAAATAAAACTCACCGCAACAGAGGACGATGATATGAAACGGCGTATCGAGGAGAGAATAAAAGACGAGAGAAGGACTCGGTTGGAATCCGCTTCCTCGAACCGGGAAATCCTCCGATCACAGATCAGCCGTGTGCGGGAAACCATCGATCAAGTCCTAAATGAGGACACCACGTTAGCTGACAGGATCCAAATCCTGTTCCGGGAGCAAGGGATCACCATCGTCAGCATTCTGACTGTATTGGGCTTCATCATATCAACCCTGGTGGTGTCACTGAGTGGGGGCAGCCCCACACACCCAACACCAACACCCACAGGTGACGCCAGAGACTGGATTAAAAAACACATGAAATCCCTCGGGGAGGCCCTGGCTAAACTGGCTGGTAAGGCCGCCGAAGCCCTGCCCGGCATCCTGGGTAGCATCGTCTCGTGGCTGCTGAGCGCTCTGGCTAAAAGTGCCACGTGGCTCAGTCAAAACCTGTGGGCAGCCATCGTCCGTGGCGGGTCTGGTGTACGTAGTGGCTAAGGAATTTTTAACCAAATGAGACCCAAACCGACTGCGATCCCACCAACCACCAGGGCTGTTTTACAGTCGTTGTGCTGCTGATTGGATTGTGCAGGCTGTGGGGGTGTTGGTTGAGCCCTGGGCTCCGGGGGTGGCGCCACTATACCCGTTTCACCGGTCGTGGGTGGTGGGACGTGGGGGGTGTTAACATGGGGGTTGACGCCCAACTTTTGGTCCGCCGTGGTTATGACAATTTCGTTGTTGCAGCCCACCACTGTTTTTACTCTCAGTTGCATATCGCTCGGAGCCATGTACAGTCCCACGTCGAAGACGTAGTCGATTTTCGACCTGGCGTATTCCAACACGTCTTGGTAGCGTTTGATGGCACTCGGGAGATCAACTGGAGCATTGATAGCATCCTCAACGTAAACAACGAACTGTTTCTGAGCGTCGTAAGCAGTCCCCCTTACCGAGGATGTTGGAACGCGTTTGCGTCTTCGCACCCAACAGCGCCCACACGTACGTTCGAATCGAGTCGTTCAACCTGATTACACCAGCACGAGTGAACCCTCTCGACGTCCACCATAATTATTTTCCAATTGTCTTCAACGTATGGGGGTTGCTCTACCTTTTTGATGGTGAAACCAACGTCGCCAAAGTCCATACGATCATCTCGCCATTCGTTACTCGACAGAGTAAATTCTGGCCGAAGTAAACCTTGTTTCAGTAGATCATCGCTGGCTTCTTTCACCGGTTTTGACCCAATGTGTATTGGTTTAGGAACGAGGTTGGAGAATGTATGGAAGAAATTACCCGTACTAAACATATTGTGCTTCATAAAGTGTACCACTGTATCTTTTCGTAATGCTTTTACGGAGAGCCAAGCACTGTACGGAATACCCAACCCGTGGTTCACTCCTCCTGGTATACGCCAATCCGTTTTAGGGTTGATTCCGAATTCACCACAAATCCGTTCGTAAGCACACCGATCGTGTGGATTGTTTGATGCATCCCACGCCTTGTCTTGTGGAAGCGGGGCGCTGATCTCATTGAGGATACGTCTGATCTGGTAGTACACATGGAACGTGAACACAGACTGACTCAACGGCCCACGCCGAGTGTCGGTCAATGTCAAACCACACCCCGTTGTAGCGCACCACACGGCGAAGTTGAGTTGATTCTGCAACGTATACCCATCGTTCGGAGGCAAACTGTTCGACTTAGAAGATGTTGAGAGCACTACCGTCGCCCGAAACAAGCCATATACGCTCGTCTTAACCCACGACGACACGTGGGTGTTGTTGTCAATATTAGGCTCGGCTCCCCCTACGTGTTCACGGAGAACAAAGACAACTACCTAAACAAAGTCGTGAACAACGGAACCCTGCTCGTGGCTTACGTCCCGGCTCAGAGCTGTAGCGTAGTCATCAGCCCAGCCGTCAGTATGGCAGCCCACATGCTATCTAGCAAGCCCGCGGTGCAAAACGTGGCATTGCAGTTGGTGGCTGAATTCGAAGGCGTGGTGAAAACACGCAAAAATTCAAATGATGCGTACATCTAAATCCAACGATTCACTCGTGCGTCAGAATTCGTAATGTGGTGCTATTCAGCAAAAGATACCAACAAGAGGGAACATCACACACCTACCAGGAACAGCACACAAGAACATCACAAAACTCACCAGGAACAGCACGTTGAACACGTGCATAAAACACTTGGTCATGTCTCCACACATGGTTATCTGATAGTACTCCACACAGAAACAACGACAGCAACAGCTTCAGCGTTCTCACAGTATCCCCTTAACGACGCCCTGCCTCTGACACACTTACAGTGACTAGAGTCTACCGCGCATGTACAGGAGGTGTGGGTACAGTCAGCTTGACCTGACCGGCGTGTGATATGTAGTAACAGTTACAGTACTTTTTTCACTGCTCTACTGCCTCCGTTGACTATTCAAAACCGGTTTAGACGCACGGCGGAAAGTCGGTATTTTTGTACGACAATATAAGCTGGAGCTGCCTCACACATTTGACTATGTTTAATCGGATTTACCTTTCGTAACCTTGAAGCAAGGTGGGGTTTGAGAAATTATTGATTTTCTGTTTTTTTAATACTGTTTTTATTTGGTAGTTACCATTAACATCACAACTAATGTTGATGTATCCTTTGTTTGGGTCTTATCATGTCATATCAATATGCATACAGTTAATTTAATTATATTTCTAATATGAATACGATATATATCATAACTATTCACCCCATTGTGTATGCTTGTTTCTACCCGTGTGGTGAAACATAACCAGTGCCATATATATCATATTATCATATGTGCACATATCACTTTTGCCAAGCAACCATTGGTCCTGTATTTCGTCGTCTCTGACGTCATTTAACAGTTGGACGTGACGTCAATGAAGATGGCCATCACACTTGCTTGCGGTGTTTTACTGCACAAACATACATGAATAAAAAAAGATAATGAAGAAATTATTTCAGTCGACCAAGTGTGTAATAGGACTTATAGGAAACTCGTGCAAATTGGCTAAGTATTGGCGTTGCTGTCGCTCAGGCAATACAAAATTTCACACTCGTTTCGTATAAGTCGTATGGCACACTTGCTCGTGTAAGAAACGTTATATATGTTTCACTGTATTACAAAATATACGTTACAAAAGCATTGTGTGGATAATACTTTTGCAAATATGTATCACTCTTTGATTCGATAAATTAGAAATGGAACAGTTATATTGAAAAATCAGAAACGCTGAATGACGTATGACGAAATACATGTGTCTGTTGTGTCATCTTGCCGTCACAAAGTGTATATAAGTTTTGCATTTACTTTTAATGTCATGAATTTTCAGATCTTTTTCCTGAATAAATGTAGACATAGCCACTTAAATATCACTCTGGGGATCAATATCATCTGTATCTAACAGCACTACAGTCAACAACACCTGCAGTTCTTTGTAACCAAAACCTATACATTCATATGGACTTTGTTCAAAGAAAGCAGAAGAAAACGGTCAGCAAAAACTGTTATAGATAAGTACATTTAAATCTTTTTATTGTACCCTGACAAAATTAACCTTACCTAGCAACGCTCAAGAGAAGCAGAGCTTTAGATAACCATTACAGCAAAAGCTGGCGGAAAGTTAATGCAACATTTAATGTTTAATGCAGTTACAATGTATCATTTTACCATGAATAAAGGTCGTTACTTTAAAACCATGGAGGACTGGGGGCGTTATGTGTGTGTGTGTGTGTGTGTGTGTGCGTGCGTGCGTGCGTGCGTGCGGGTGTGTGTGTGTGTGTGTGTGTGCGCGCGCGCGCATTTATAGAGAAAGGGATCAGGAAAAGTGGCAGGGTCTCCTTGCATCACATCAGCTTGAATGTAATAACCAATTATACTAAACAATTTGAGTAGTATATATAATGATAGTCCGAGATCAAGTCCAACAAAAGCTTCTGCAAAGCCTTATTTCACAAATAAGGCTTTTGTCAGGCCCTTAGATCTCGCCACCATCGTATCTACTACTTTTGAGACCCCGTTAATTTCCCACCCACACGTGGCACTAATGTGCCGCTATGCCACGTTGACAGGAGGTAACATTGTGCCGTATGGTATGATCAATAATTCCTCTCTAACGAACCCTCTACCTGGCCCATCTCTCAAGTAGTACAAGTTCGACTCGTCAACTTTGATGTCCACTTTATCTATGTTGTAAGTTTTGACTGACCATATTGGGTCAGTGACTCGCTTAAGGCTATCACCCTCGTGTTCCCCCGGCTGGTATAGATACCTCACTAGGGCCCTATCTGGTATCTGTTTCTCTTTCCCACGCAATGGCGCAGCCGACTCTGCCACTATTGATTTTAGTTTGATAGCGTTGGCTGGTTTGTTCCCGGTGAGACGGGTGATTTCGTGGTTGATGGCCGACACCACCTGAGGTAGCCGCGCTACCCATTCAGTCGATCGTTTCCCCGGGTAACCATCTCTCTCGCATACTGATGCCCGAATAAGCACTGAGCCTAAGTCCTATTGAATCTCTCAACTATTGCTTGGCTGCGATGGGCTCCGGCTGTGCCACGCCTGACCTTGGTATCGTGTTTATCCAGCAGGTGTGACACGACACCCATGAACTCCCGCCCGGGGTCAACTTGCAGCTCTGTTGGCCACGTCAGTGGACTGCGCTTGTATATGCGTTCGAATCCGCGGGCTACCTGGACCGAGTCTTTCGCGGTCAAGGGTTCGGCTTCCTTGTAGCAACTGGCCACGTCCACGACGGTTAAGGCATACTTGTATCTCTTATCGTGGGGTAGGAACAGGAGGTCGGCCTGGTGAACGCTATTGGGTATGTTAATACCGAACTTCCTTCTAGGCACGTAGCGTGGTGCCGGTAAATAGATCTGCCACAGGGCTTGTTTTTCAAGCCACGCTTTGGCCTCCTCCAGGGGTACCCGCACCATTTTAGCCAGCTCATGTACAGCGCTAGCTCCTTTCCAGTACCCATGCGGGCTGTAGTAAATAGCCTCAAACTTTCTCTGGTTCCGTGACATGTCGCCCCGACAGGGTAAGGTAATTACATATACACCTATGTTCTTGGTTCAATTTTCTCATGCCCGTACGCGTACGTGTTAATTCCATCAATAGCTATCCAACGTTTAGTGTCCATCAGCGACAGGGACGTCTTGTTTATAGTCAGCCTGTATATTCTATGCCCATCACTTCTAAGCGTGTTCATTTTATGCCTAAAGGTACGGGTCTTGAATAGGGCTTCCTTGAATCTGGCGTGTTTGATGTGTTGTTCCACCACGTACTTCTTAACACCCTTCGCCTTCCGGATCTCACCATTGTCGGCCTTCAGGATGGAGTACATCTTAGGCCTCAAACCTATGTACTCGGCTATGGGCGTGCTAGCACACTCGTCTTTCATCTTACCTTGGACCTTTTTATTTACCGTGCTGTGTATGGCATGGTCCTTGGGGTAGTCACTGGTGTCATACAAATCGAGGCGTTTTTTCATGTCCTCGTACACGTCCTCGGTTCGAATCTCCATCAGCAGGGAATCCGTGTCAGTGTACAGCACTTCACACCTGTCGTCGTACTGTTTCTTTAGCTCGTTGTAGTAAAAGTCGTACATCAGGTGTTTGGATAAATCGAGGATGCTCATCCCCACGTAAACAGGCCAATTGAATTTGATGTGGCTTTTCTTCATGTGTAGGGCAACCAGGTCGTCAGTGAATATCTTGCTCCGGTTGAATGCCGGGCTGGCTATCAGTCTCCTGAGCTTGTCTTCCTCATTCGACCGAACCAGCTTCACAGTCATGCGTTTCCTCAGGTTCTCCATAGTCTTACCAAACACCGAGTTGTTCATGAGCTTGTAGAGATTTTTCTCAAAGTCACTGGTGGCAAGCTTTCGGAGGTCTGTGTTCATTTTGATGTATGGCTCCATCCAGGGACTCTGGTTGAACACGAGCACCCTGTGTATTTTGGTCAGCCTCATACCCAACGACAGGTACAGCTGTAGGTTGCGATAGTGAACGATGTACTTGGTCTTATTCATTAAGTTGGGCACGAGTTTTTCAACGTCTGCCACCCGCCCACCTAACAAGTTATGTTGGTACTCAGACATCCTGTCTGGGTTAACCCTCATACGTTTGGGGGCCAGGGGGTAGCTGTTGCGTGATGTGTGTAATGCCTTGGGGTATTCCAAGTCCACCTCGAGGATATAACCTTTGTTCGAATCTGGTGCGATGCTCATAACATCAACCTCTTGCGATGCCCATTTGAATCCCCCTGTGGGTAGATACTGGCTCATGGCCCAGCCATACAGGTTGTTGGCGTAGAGGTAGAGAATATGATTGGTTGGCTTGCTCGGGTCGTAGCCCTTCACGTATTGATTATTTGCTTTCGCGTATCGTTTGGTTGCCATGGAAATCCCGCCTCGCAAGCCTTTCTCAATGAATAGGTGCATGTGGTAATCGGTGAGCAATTCCAACTTAACTCCGGTCTTTTTCAGCAAGGCATCCCACGACAGACCTGGGCTGGTGTAATACCATGCGGGGTCGAGTTTATACTGCTTGAAACATGTCCGCCTAAACGTCTCAAACACGTCGGCTAACAGCAGTACATCTCTCCTCAAGTACAGGTCGTGATAGTCACCCAGATTCTTACAGCCGAGTTTATTCCATACGTTAATCGCGTGCGAGTAATCGTCTTGGGATATTGTCGACTCGGTCAGATTGCTGTAAAATTCTCTGATGGGGGGTAATCGGGTCTTGGCGAACTTGGCCCAACCATCCATGTACTCATAGGGGTACACACCCTTCCTCATCAACAGGGGTCGAGTCTCGGCGTCCGTGTATCAATCGGTGATGGGGAAGGTATTGTTGGCCTTGACCTGACTGTTGAGTGACGACAGGAGGAACTGAACCAAGTCGATGAACCTCAGGCCATTCAAGCTGAAGGAGATGTATCTCTCCATGTTGTTGGGGATGCACGTCAGGTTGCCGTCGACTTTCGCGATGGCCTGCATGATAAAGTGAGAGTCGTACCCTCTCAAGTTGTGGAAGACCACGGGGATGTTTATTGTCTTGGGGGTGATTCTAAGCTTGAGGTTACACACGCTGTGAGCGGCGCCTCTATCCTTACCGGTGATGTGACAGTGGTCTCTCACCGAATCACCGTTCAGTGGTGAGTCACACACGTGACAATTAGTGCTACAGGCATGG